TTTGGCATAGTCCTGACACGAACTAATGGAAAGAACCTCTATTATCACCTAGACATGGGTAACATTTGAAACGTCATTATTGTCTGTGATGCTCTTTATTCTTTGCATTTTTTCTGGGTCCGCTGAATTATGTCGAATGTGTTGAATAAAAATGTTCTTTGATTATGTTTTACCTGATATGGACAGACATCTCCTTCTGTGAAAATTGCAATGTGTCCAATCAGACATAGCAGCAGCAGCACAGGGTTGATCTTGAGATTCATTGGTACGTCTATAGATACAAGGAGACGACACTGCTGGCAACTTTCAGGCAGGTAGATTTTCTAGAAGTTATTCAACACTGGGATGGAAATTTTTGAAAAATGTTATTTATGTCGCAAATTGTACCATTATATACCCGGAGTGCAGTGTTGTGAAATCATTATTTTTTTTTCTTTTAATTATTCATTTATGAGTTTAGCTGAGTTAATTAAAAGCTCTCCGTTCCCAATTTAAGCAGTCAGTGCAGATTTCCAATGCCTGTGGTTCCAGCAGCAGTTGATTTATATGTCCATCTTTCTTTTTCTCTAAGCCCCACGTATCAACCAGATCCCCTAAATTAATTCATTCATTAATACATTTCTCATATGGTAGGCGTCAGTGAGAATGTTACTATAACACCATCATCATCACGTGTACCGTGTATAGTCAGATAACGCTTGCATTCTATATCTCTATTACGTTTTATCACTGGAATCATTTTTCATTTCATAGACGAAAACCAGTCAAGCACCTTTGGCCCCTCATACCATCTTACGTCTTAGTTGTTTTCATGAAATTACTTGTTTCCGCTTTCCATTCATGTCTAGCGTGACTGCCTTTTTGTTGGTTATTTGTCCACTTTCCCCAGGATTGTCCCCAATATACAGTCATCATCTTAGCAGCGATAACGTTGATGTCAACCTTTGTCAACAGATAATACAACTGCATACGTTTATTATGTAATGTAGTTAGCCTCTAGTAGCGAAATATAATATAAAGTCACTTCTGAAGTACTGGTATTTGCTATCCAGTAAATGCATGCAGTTTGTCAGAGAGTTTTGCGCTGCCTTATGGCAATGGCTCGTTGGCAGCTACATGACGAAGCTGTCTATTCTCTAGGACCACTAACCCAGCATTTTCAGTGCATACACGTCAACCTTGAATATAATTTACAAGAAGCCATCGGCATTTCGTCCTAAAGATGGCTGGCAAACCCTACCACAACCAGGCGTAGTTGCTTTTCAATCGACACCCACACATTGACCTTTTAGATGCTCCCAGACATTAACCGGGTCCATGAGCCCGCGGTTCATGCTTTTTCCTACGCCTCTGCACCTTACACTGTGACTGCTATGCTACAGCACCGCTCTGGGTAGTGTGGTCAGACGACCATGTCACTGCGATGAGTCGCTTGAATAGAATGCCCACTACATCATCATGTTCTCATTCCTATACCGACAATGCCCTTTCGCGGAACCACCTCGCTAAAACACAGTTACGTTTCTGATTAAAAACAAACATACCAAAACTCAATGGACTTCTTTTTATAACACATAAGTTATAATGACAAACATTTATATTATAATACTGTCGCTAACACGTTATCACTAATTAACCGTCGCTAACTTAAAACAATTACTTAAAAAGAAACAAGCTGTCAAAAACAGAACGCATCTTGTATAAGTCTCTCAACTAGCTCCACGAAAATCCTTCGCTATGTCCGTTTTGTCCGGTCCTCCGTTCACCATACGTTTAGTCAACTCCCGGAACATCCCCAAGTCTTCACTCGATGTCTTTGTTGGGAAATCCCGTAGGCTGTAGAAGGAGTAGGTTCTAAGAGGTAATCTAAGTGCTAGGCGATAATTCACTATCATCACCTACCTTCGTCCCATAGCCACACAGGCCCTTGACACAGACTATATTCTGTTACAGACAAAAAAGTTATACAAGTATACTTACAACCCAGATAAACCTTAGCTGACAAGTAAGTATCACCAGAACATGCACTTTACACTATCTATTCCGTCTTTCAAGAACATGTGTTCCTTATCTCAGAGTTGTTCAGGTCTTAGTTGCCTGTACAAATTGTTAGCAGACACTGTATTTGTCTAAAATATATGTTTCCGCCCGTTGGTTGATGGTGATAAATCAATCATTTTGGAATTGCTTTGTTTCCCGCGTGTGTTACAGAGCCCTATTATGGGCAAAAAAAATAATAGTCCTATTGCCTCCCCAACAAAAATGTTTTAAAAGTCGAGTAAAAAGGAAATTCCTGCGAAGTCAAATTGCATCTGCCTGTGAGGCAAGGAACAACAGTCTGCATACAAAGAAAGCCAGATGTGTAGAACAGAACTGTGCAGAACATTCAAGTACTGGTATAAGATTGAAGTCTGGAGGTCGACAAACAACTAGAACTGTCCACTGGAGTTTACTAACAGTGAATGCGAACAAAAAAGAAGAAAATACCAGCATATGCCACAATTACCAAATTATATTAAAGGTAATGAAATATATATATATATATATATATATATATATATATATATATATATATATATATATATATATATATATATATATATATATATATATATTTCATTATCTTTAATAAAATTTGGTAATTGTGGCATATGCTGGTATTTTCTTCTTTATGGAATTTTCTTCCATATATATATATATATATATATATATATATATATATATATATATATATATATATATATAGGCTTTTGTGGCGACAGCATCAGATTATCTAACACAATAGTTTGGCTAAAACAAAAAGGTGAGTAACGCCCGAGTAGCTAAAGATAATTAGTTGAACCGCTCTAAAATTTCAAATAAAAATAAATAGATTATTGTCCTAATTTAGTTTTTTTTTTTCAAAGCGTTAGTTGCTTTACTCCCATGTGACGCAATTGTGTTAGTATCAGAGATTCCTGACTATCCACTAGCCCAGTCAGGGCAGCAATGATGACATCTGCTCTGTCTATACTTCTTTCCACATGCCTCAGTGCAGTGCTTGCAAGTTAGTCCGCTCGCTCATTTCCCTTTACGCACGCATTACCAGGTGTGTAGATCCAGGTGAGGGAGGTTGGGATCGATTTTCGAATGCTTTCTACCATTCAGAGCTGATACCGTATGTTGCTATCTTCTAAAGCATGTTCATGAAGTCTAATACAATTACTGCCTGTGTGGCTATTTGCTCGATACCCATGCTAATGCTATAGAAGCAGCGGTAATTTCCATGACCATGCTTTATTTAGCACACACCCCACCCCTTCTCTTCCCCCCCCCCCCCTTGTTTTAGAATCCCAAACGTGCGAAATGGAGTCTTACAGCACACATAGAGCGGATCAGTTGAGACAGAACTAAGGAGAGGACACGGAGTCTCTACAGGAGATGCCGTAAAATGGGAAGGCGTACTGTTAGGTGTCAAGTCACGACTCACATATTTTAGGTTGGAAATTTTCTCTTTCTAAATCGAACTTGGTTTTAGGTCGACCAGAATAAAATCATGCCAGTCAATTTTCTTGGAAGTATGGGCTGCAGTCGTGAAGGTGACCAGGTCGTGACTGGTCTGACGTAAAAAATGATCCTTGCTTCACTTACTTTAGTTAGTCTTTTTTACCGTGTGCTAACAGGGTCTTTAGGGAGTTATCGTGGCGTTGGTGGCTAGATGCCAGCCTGTGGATCGGGAGGTCGTGGGTTCGCATCCTGACGGAGCCAGACTTTTTTTTTTCAAAAATGACTTTGACTCGCAGGTCGACTTAGTTTTAAGTAGGTACGAGGTTCAGTCCTGGGAAGTAAAGGCGGCAGGCGTGATGCTGACCACATCACATACCAAGTTCTGATTGGTCTATAAAAATGTAAGTCTAGAAAAAGGCATTGTTATATTTCTTTGAAATTCGACGATAGGAAACTGGAGAAAGAGAAAGAGACGGAGAAGCAGGAGAAATAGTGAGGCTTGGTCAGTATTTTCTCTAAATCAAAGGGGTTTAAACTTATGACTGAGTAGAAGGGCACTCCCGCTAGCTATTGCGATATCGCGATGAGTAGACGGGCACTCCCGCTAGCTATTGCGATATCGCGGCCCTGAACTCACTAAAAAGATTAATTTGTTTCATCTGTCCAAACATCATTTTGCGCAAATGTGATTTCTGTTTTGATGAAGGGAAGTAATCACTAAATGGGAACAAAGAATATAAATAACAGATTTCCTTACCTTACAAGCCACAGAGAGCAAAGTGACGTCTTTTCGAGTTTATTATGACAACACAATAAAACAATCAAAATTCTTGAATAATCGTTTCACCACTGCTCACAAAATCCCGTAAAAGTCGGTAAACCGGTTTTCTTGAGGTGACGTGTTTAGAGTACAGGTGGGCTTGAGAAATGCTACCTAATCCTGAAAGAGCACTTCTTCTTTAAGTCTATGTCGTGTGGCGTTAGTAGTCATGATATCCACAACCTTCTGTCTCGTACACTTTCAATCAACCCTGACACTGATGATCCTCTATGCCATAATGTCAAACTGTCCAGCATCTTTTTTTCTCGGTCTCCCCCTGCCTCTCCTTCAATGATTCAATGATGTGAGGCTCGCTGGTCTACTTCTAGTTTGGGTTATAGCTTTTCCTGATACAAATGGAAGATTTTGTAACCATGTCTATATAATACTGACATATTTATCTTCCAGGAATTAAAGGCGGCAGGCGTGATGTTGACATTAATATGTGCAAATGTGGGTAAAGCAGCTTTTAATAAATTGGCGTGGGAAAGGTCATTTACTTACTTTTTTAATTGCCATAATATAGTGAAATATATGTGAGGTTTTAAGATAAGCGGTGTCAGCCGAAACATGCTATGGATAATGTAAACGAATAATACTTAACGATCACATATTCTAGATGGTGGTAACATCGTCTTTTAATCATTAAACAATTTGTTTCAGTAACAATAATTTTTTATAATAACCCATCAGTTTATAATTCATCACAACCGGAGGTCAGATTAGTAAAGAAATACAATATGGTCGTATCCCCACATTCTCCGTTGACTTCAGGCGTGTTGACAATAAGTGACTGAAGATCTCTTTCTGCGCATGTACAAACTAAGTCAGCACTTCCGGACATATCTAACTGATGTAAATTAGAAAGAGAACAGAGAGCCAGAGGGAGCCGGGTTAGTTCAGATTGTTGAAGGTTTAGGAACGAGAGACTGGCCAAATTTCTAAACGCTGACAGAGAAATACTGGCAATAGGATTATCATTTAAACTTAGACATGTTATATTAGAAACATTCGGGAAACTAGCCTCGGTGAGATTGGTTATCTGGTTATATCCAAAATTTGCAATAATTGCGATTGGGGGAAAGTCTTCGCCTCGAAGTTCGTTTATCAAGTTATGGGGTAGATTAAGGTACCAGACATTAAATAATCCAGAAAAGAAGTGAGGAATAAGAGGAAGAGAATTTAGCCCTAAGTCGACACGCCCTATTCTAGTGGGCAATGATCCGGTTTCTGGCAAGGCGATGTGGTTATGGTTGAGATTGAGGTAGTGTAAATTTATCATATATGCTAACTCGGGTATAGAGGTTAATTTATTTCCCTGTAAATCAACATACTGCAGGGAATAGGCATACGGACCTGGACATACACTTACCTGCTCAGCATTAGAGATATTATTATTTGCTAAGTACAACGACGTTAGATTAGATGAAAACGGGAGCCATAATATGGTTTCCACGTTTGCGCCTTCAACGGTTAACCATTCTAGCCGGTATAGCTGAGAGAAAGCTCTAGGTAAATATGTTAAATTAGTATTGGTTAATGAAAGTTTAACTAGGGTGTGAACAACTGTGTTGAAGGCATTAGCAGGAATATAACTGATGCTACTATCAGAAATAATGAGCTCTGTAAGATTTGAGAAATACAGAATCCAAGCCGGCCAGCTGGTTAATCCCACGTTTCCAAGATGCAGCTCCTGAATACTCCGGCCAATATTCATTATGGCTACCAGGTTCCAATCTTGTATAGGGGTGTTTTTAAGGGAGAAATGCATCAGCACTTTGAGCTGAGTCAAGGCGTCGGGGATTCGTGTAAAGAGCGCATTAGAGAAAGCCAGCTTCTCCAGAGTTGTGGTAGATTCATTGAAGACATCGTCATCTATCGTCCTTAAGGGGGTTGTTCAACAAAGACACTTCCGTCAGGTTCGGCAGTAGGCTTCCATCTAGTAGCGACTCAATGCAGTTATCCTAAAAGTATAGAAGAATAAAAGCTCAATTGAATACGTTATGATACTAAGAACATTAAAGAAAAGATCTTATCCTCCTTTGCCTTCTATTACATTATCCAACTGTTAGCATACATCGGAGACTGGGTGGCGTACTGTCTCGCTGGTATACGACTTCTCGCCTGTCGGGGCAGAACTTCGAGCTGTCCCCTTTGATGGCAACAACACTGTAGGAGTCGTTTTCAGGAATCTTGGTGGCGTGCAATGCTAAGTTGTTTTATATTACACGTATATCGTCATTAACTGGAATAAAATGGTATGTAGAATCACTAATGTTGAGCTTTCGGAGAGAAGTACGCAAGCTCCAGTGAACCAAGAGGTGAGGAACAGACGCTGGCGCCGGGTAGGATACACATTTGGAAAACCGGAGAACAATGTAACTAGAAGGTCTTTGCACTGGAACCTACAGGGGCATATGAATAAAGGACGGTCAAAAAACATATGGAGAAGAGAGCTGGAGAATGAAGTTAGAAAGATAGGTAGGATATGGGGAGAGCTCCATGTAATGGCGAAGGATAGAACGACTTGGCGTGAGTTGGTTGAGGGCCTATGCTTGATTGGGGGATAGGCAGAAGAAGAAAGAAGAAGAAGAAGAATTTTTCAGTGTTTATAGTGGCTCTGCTTGACAGTAAACTTTATTTTATATTATAGTATAATTACTATTGTATGAAATAAATATATTAATCAAACTAAAACTAAGACATTCTATGAAAATAAACCCCAATTCTTCTGTAAACATTCATGTAACACTCGGTAATTTTTAGGTAAAACAGTAGTATACGGGGGGGGGGGGGGGGGGGGGGGGGGGATGGGGGGGGGGGGGGGAGGGGGGGATGGGGAGGTTGGAGGAAATTAACTGATGAAGCTAGCATTAAGGGTCAACGTATCAGAGGCACCAGATGTTTGAGTCAACATGTTCTGCTGAGGATTCAAGGCTGTAAATGAAGCAATAGACGTACGTTTCACAGCGCTGTTACATGAGAAAAGAAGGAAAACTCACATCAAGCAAGAGAATCGACTGTGTTGCATCCGATACATTCGTGTCAGGCTGGATTGAGACCAGATTTTTACCTTGGCACAAAATTTGCGCCGAATTACAGCCACATTCCTGCATTGGATACACAAGTAAAACATTAGGTGTCACTTAGATGGTGTACAGATATTTAGCAACATTTGTTTATGCATCGACATTGCATTATTGCTTCGTTCTACACAGAAAAACATGTGGCTTAGAAGACGATAAACACATTTCCCAGGTATTGTCATGGGAAGTAAAGGCAGACCACATCAACCACCCAGTGCAGACTGGAAAGGTATGTGTCCAGCATATTATGCCCAGTGTGCCACTGGAGTAAAAACAAGGACCCTTTTGTTATTCTAAAAATGGTTGCAGGTTTCAGAGCCCTAATGGACAGTTAGTTGGACGGCTAGCCTAGCTACGATACCTTGGGTTCTCCGTATTCCTTAAAATTGAATTTGTCTGTGCTGGCGTAAAGTTTTAACAGCTGAAAACGCAACTGATTTCCAACAATTGCTGGATAGTGTGGGGGATGGAGAGTACTAAGAAAATACTTTCCTTAAATATTAAGAATACGGAAGTAATGGTTATTTCAAAGGAAAATAAAAACACACTGTGATATCTGAAGTGAAGGAAAAAAAAAAAGGTTTGACCAAGTCAATAAATTCAAATATCTGGGAACAATCATATCATCGGATGGACGAATCGTGGCAGAGATTAAAAGCAGAATATGTGCAGGCTGGCAAGCATCACTTCAGAGGTCTCGGGTAGTTAGCATCCTTTGGATATTCTCTCCAGGTGATGCCAGTGTGTTGGGGAACGAGCAAGCAGATGAACTGGCCGGTCCTGCGCCACTTGGGGGTGAACTGATGTATGACAAGCTAGATGTTGTGAGGGCCCTCTGTGAGCGAGTGAACAGTGGGGATGCCCAAATAGATCATTACGGTCTTAGGTGAATGTCGCTGCTAGGAATTGCCAGGAAATCTAGCCGAGGCTCAACACTCAAGAGAAAGGCGAGATAGATATACAATCAGGCATTTACTGGTACTATCGGAATAGGGAATTCTTCGTTTGCTGCTGAAGATGGGTACAAAGCGCTTACTGGAGCGTCCCGAGTGCTTTGATGTCGATTCTTTTTTAAACATTCAATATTCAACATTCAATATTCAAGATTCAACTGCACGTTTCCATACTTTTCAGTTTGTGCATTGCTAGGAATCTGATAACAAATGACACGGAAATAATGAAATAATACTTGCTTTGTAAGGGCAGACGTTCCCGGTAACTAAAACTGTAGACACAGCGAAGGTTAAGACAAGCGATGGATAACCCAGGTAATCCACATAGCAACAGAATGGGCTGTGGATGGACAACGTAATTTATCATGACGTTAATAACATTTATCTGAATTTGAAAAAAAAAAATTGAAAACTTAATTACCTTTTTTTTTTTTTCAAACAGTTGGTACATTAGTGAAAACTTATGTGAAAGCTGAGCCGAAGGTTTTTTTTTAGATGAGCTGAGTTGATTCAAGAATTGACATCAGAGCACTCGGGGCATTCCCATATGCGATCTGTCCCCATTTTCAGCGCAAAGTTCCAGTGCTAATGGTTCCGGTCGTAGTCTGGATATATGTCCGTTTTGCCTTTCCTCTGAGTGTAGTGAGCTGGCCAGACCCTCTCGTTACACCAGGCGCATCATTCTCTCCAGGCCATAATAGTCTTGTTTCTCTCATAGACGAACTATGAGAATACCCTTGACAGATAAAAAGAGTAATGAAGATTTCGTGAAAGAAACAGACTCTCGAAGAGAACTGATTGCTCGCATCAGAGACAATCAATATTGTTCGGTCATGTGATGAGAAGGAGACATCTGGAGTACATCGTGTTAGTCAGAAAGTTGGAGGGGAGACTCAAGCAATGGGTGGGTACTGATATCGAACACGTAATTTCTAAATGCCGTTGACAGGAATCAGAAAAAAAAAATCATCTTATTACACACACATAAATTGTTTGCTGCAATATACAAAACAAGTAACGGAACATGTAATTATTATTATTATTATTTTATTGGTATAAATACTATCTGCAGCAGCAGTAATAGTAGTAAAGGTTGGTAATAGTGATGTAGTAGCTAATTTTACAAAATATACCTATACAAAAGTAAATAAATACATAAATAAACATTACCAGCTGTTGCTTTGATGCTTCCCAAGAGGCAATGGTTCGAAGATAACTTGTAGAAACATCAGCAAGAGGCAGTAATTATTTTTGTGTGTGTTAAATTGTTGGTTATGCATTGAGAAGAAATAATTGGAATATGTTTAGACCACTTGAAAGATATGTGAGAAAAAAGAAATAGAGGAACACAACTCGAACCGAATGTTGTACTGGTACATGGATACATGAAACTGATTCATGCTTTGTGATAACGCGGAGAGGCCTGATCGCCCATGCCAGTAGGCAAAACACTTGATGATGATGTTGATAATGTCGGTGCTGAATGTAGTTATTGCTTGTAAAGTTATCAGGAAAAGGGTCTGGGTGCGGTGCAAATACAAGCCACTGCTCTAAGAAGGTACCTGTCAATTTGTAACTATGCAGTAAACACAATTGACCAAATAGTTAACTTCGCATTATGTTTACAATTTCAGATTGGCTATAAGCCAGTGGTGCATCGTACATGTAACACTTTTAATCGCCGCTTACACTTTACAAAGCAAAACAAAAGAAAAGAACTTCTTACAATTTATTATTAATGTTTACTATTTTATTACAAAGATATCACTCGATTTACGTCTCTGACATAGCCAAAATAAAGCTCACTGCGTGGTATGCCACTCATCAGAAAGATGTGAAAGCTACATGTTGCTACGATGCTAGCTTCGCACGATTTGGTTCAACAGCGAAGCGACGAGGAGAAACATATCACGTGATACATCTTCCAGTTTAATTTAGCATTACAGGTTCAGGTGGTTGTAAAGAGAGTCATAAAATCGGCGCATCATGCATTCATTGGGCTTCTAGGTAGGAGCCTATGAACGTGTGATGCGTTCTTTGGGACTCAAAGAGTTAATTGTTACCTGCTGGCGTATTCGTCACAACTCGACATCAATATTCGCTCATTTTTACATTACCCTCCCCCCCCCCCCCAAAAAAAAAAAAATATATATATATATATTGTTGAACAAAATATGAAAATAACACAAAAAACATGTTTGTATTAAATGTGTGGGTAATTTAAACAGAGACTAAAGACAGGAACTCTGATATTTAGTTTTTCAAACATAAATTCGGCTTCCAGATCGACCAACATTTAAATGGGTACCCGATAAAGTCATGGAAGTACTGGCGGCCGGCGTAATGTTGACCACATAGAGGGCTGATTGGTTTATACAAAACTACGAGTCTAGTATCATATAGCCAATGCGCATCATGCAAATGGATCTTTAAAAAAATGTAAGTAAATGTTTATAAACTTTATTTTTAAATTTAGGTGCTTTATTAATTTCCTACCCCAAACAGTGGAAATCCACAGGTCACAGGACAATGTAATATTTCAGGGGGTGGTAAATAGGCTGCATGCAGTCGTTGGACCTAGGCTGCAATCTCTTGTGGGACGTAGGTGGGTTGGGGTTAGGGCCAGCTCAAGATGTTTTGGGGTCGCTAAAAGCATCAGAAAGCCAGGAAACCCAGTCTTTACACCCTCTAAAATGTTAGACTATCCTGTGATGTCATTTGGGGTAGGATATTTAAAAAAGCACACAATTTTATCTGCACACAACAATCACAAACACTGCATCTCTTTCGGAAGCAACAGCCGGCCAGTGGTCGGACACGTACCTGACTGTCGAACGATGTTGGGATAGAATCTTCATCAGGAAGCGGTGTTAACTGTTTTTTTTTTTTTTTAATTTGACTGAGAACTCCCTGGCCTGAAGTCTTTTCCCCCCTCTTAGCGTCTCTGCAGCTGTAAACTGCAGCGGAATGTTCTAGTTGTTCGTCCGCTTGTGGACTTTGGCTTATTCCAGATTTTGAGTTAAGTGAATGTCTGTTTTACACATGCGGTCTTTTCATATGCAGACCGTTGGCCTGCATTTTGGGGCTTTCATGGAGCTATATTCAACACATCAGTATTTTCTTTTAATTTATTTCTTTTCATTAATGTTTTCTTTTTAAACAAAATTAAATTTCTGAGGCAATTTTGCTTTTTTTTTTTTTTTAACTTTCCGCCGGAAATTATTTATTTCATATTATGGCTCCTAATGTGATTTTTTGTTTCGTTTTCAGTATTTCTTGGTTTCACTTTGACTTTGGTTGTTCACGATCTATTTTGTCATGTCCGTTTAGTTTTTCCAGTCAGAGTTTCTGTGTTTTTAGTAGTCCGTCGATACAGATTTTTGTTTAAAATTAAGTTGTATTATTTTGTTTTTGGTGACTGTATTCATTTTTTCACATTAGGGCTGAGTGGTCTCGAGGTATGGCATCCGCCTAGAGTGCTGGAGGTTCAGGGTTCAAACACTGGTGAAGACTTGGATTTCCTCACGTGGATTTCTAATAATTTCCCCTGATCTCTGGGTAGTAAGTCCGGACGCCGGTGTGCATAGTTGCGCACGTAAAATATCCCTTGGCAGTTGGAAATCAAAAAAGAGTAGCCTAGCGGCGCTGCCCTAGCAAAGTTTGGAGTTAAAACTGTACCCAACGTATTTTAGGATCCTGGCCAGCGCAACGGAGTTCGTACACTGTGCTGAGATTCTTCAGTCCTAGTTCCTCTTGGGTTACACCGGTGTGCCATGATGTTAATCCGGTAAAAAAAGCAATCAAACGTCACTATTGAGACAGACCCATCAGCACCATATAGATGATGCGATCAGCATAACCCGCTGGTCCGTTACTTCCCAGTGCACCTGACTGATAGGCGCCTTCCCGTCTTTCTAGACGATAGTTTTGTACTGAGCTATAAGGAAGCATGGGACTCATTAGGCTTCTATTTCAACCTCCCCCGCCCTTTCCCACATTTGTTTAAAATGTAAATCAGTCTCTAATTCCAGATAAGGGAACGAGATCAATTCCTACCACAACACGAGATATCAACCCAGGAACAAAACGCTGAAGAGCAGGCACTACGCAGAGCCTCATCAGACCAGAAGCTCAACACACCAGGGACCTCTTTCTCAACCTAGCAAACTACCTGTCTCTCTCAATTTTCCGACCTAACTATAAAATATCTTGCCACTTTCGGGAAAAAAAACGACTGCGCACAACAAGTAGATTGTGACAGTCGTCCTGTTGGGGGCCTTGTTTTGGGACGCTCACTGTGCGGGACTGTTTGTTTCGCGGCGGTGTGGCTGAGGACTGACTTGGTACTAACACAGATAAACAGTGCAACAGCTAGCGGACAGCCAACTAAAACAGGAACTAGGACCCATAAAAACCAGAACTTAGGCAACAAAGAACAAACTCAGGTGTAATTGCTCACCACAAAGGAAACAACTATAAGATAGAAAATAACCCGTCCTTGAAAAAGCAGGCCGTCAGGCGGCTAAAAAAGGACAAAGCTTGGAATTTTTCTTTGATTTTTTACGATACGATACGATACACAGTCCATGGCTATGGCGAGTGTGACTAGCAAGACCTGCTCTCTTTAAAAAAAAGTCGTACACAGTTACAGCATGGGATTTCAGGACCATTGTTGTCAATAGTTGTGTTTAATCTGTTTCTTCTCAGACGCTCAGCTCTCATTCTTTCTGCAGTCATTTCATCCTTTATTCTCATTCCCATCCTAATGAATCCCCTCCATACAATACAGTCCATGACACGAGTCCACCTTAATACCTGTGTAATACAATACAATGAAGTACATAATTTTGACTGAGTCCACCTGGGAGCAAACATAATTTTCTATTTCATGTTCACGGGGTGCAGAACTGAACCCAAGACCCTCGGACCAGAGGCGAGCGTGTAGTCATAAGGCACAATGGCGTCCCCTTTTAGAATTGTTATGTATAATTAGAAAGGGGAAAAAAGTACGCACCAGATAATCAACTCTCAGCTGTGTTTAGTGTCGATACACCGCTGGTGGTTTCACACACAATCTGTTTCCGTCCTCTGCATTTAAGATGTACACAGGAATAAGCGTTAAAGATAGCGCTAATCGTGGTTTGATAGGAAGGATATAGATATTTATTGTTTGTCATTCCCTGAACGGTCAGCTCTCGGTACCACTGTCGAAGCCAATGCAAGACAAGCTGTCTGCAGATGCGGTCGAACCCGGCACCACTGAATTATGAAGCATGTTGGCAACGACTAAGCCACAGACGCCTGTCAAAAGTAATTCCTAGATATGTTAATGGGCTATCTCTTTATATGCTATTGCCATTTTTTGTGATGCTTGACAGCACATCTCTTACAATCCTAATATTCAACAAAAACACTACAACACTGCTCACATCTATCTACTAGTCCACCTCTTGTGGGAAGCAATTGTTCGCTATTTTGAAGCCCCACCCTGGCTCTTGCCAGCCGCTGCAATATAGCCCGACCGTACATATGGTCTAATTGCTGAACGCGGTTTCCGGTACCTCTCCACCGGTGATCCTCATTCACATCGTGGCACTTTTTGTCATCGGGTGTTTATCGCTTGTTCGATGTCCTAGTGGGGGGAAATATACTACTACTACTACACTGCTGCCTTCTCTGGTTTGTTGACCGATCCTTTCTCACACAACTCCTGCATGTAGATTAAGTCATCCTCAGCAAAAGTCAAGATTCTACTTATGCCACTGCCTCTATTATCGCCATCCTGCTTCACATTGGAAAGCACTAGGTGGAATGACAAAACTATGTGGAAGACCAGGTGCGATAATACGTGGTTCAGACTTCCACGAAAACATGCGAAAGGCAGTTCATAAGCACTACGGCAATCCATGACAATCCAGGGAATTAGCACCTTTTCCATAAATGTGAAAAGTAAAATAAATATATAACCCTATCGAACGCATCTCTTAGATCCAGTGTCGCTACCATTGCTTCATGCTTTTTATGAAACCTCTCATTTACATCGTGGGATTTTCCCAAGTTTACTGTTTTGGTAGGTAGCTTAGTGAGAGTCGATGTTTTTCTAGGTAATCCTGTGACTTGCCTGCCACTATCTTTTCCAGAATAAGAATTCTGTGAGGTAATAATTATATAACCATTAAATTTGGTGTGATATTTATTTGGAATGGGGAGTGGTATGATGTAACTATGCAGTCAATCTAGTGGAGCAGACAGATCACCACAGTCTGGTGAGATTGATTCAGCGGGGAGTAACGAGCAGTTCTGGCAGATGCTCACGGCTCAGAGGAAAGGCAAGACGGACGTTTAATCATAATGCTGCTTGCACCATTGGTATCGGAACTCTTCACTGGCTGCTGAAGATGAGGACGGAGCGCTTTTGGGAATGTCCCGAGTGATGTGAGGTCGGTTCTTGACTCAACTCAACTCAACGCAACTCTTGTGCAACCGATGCTGTTGCAATACTGGTGTTACAACATGGCAAGATTTCTCCAAGTTCCTCATTGAGGTAGAGCAATTCGACTACATTAACAAACAGCATCTGTAGATAAAGCAATCTATTACTTTATTCTTGAGAGAAAAACAATCAAATCGGACACAAATCCCCTAATGTATCATAAAAATCCTGAACACTGGTGATACCACAATCCCCTGCCACAGTAAGCAGTTCTTTGATCCAAGACTCCAAACTTCTTTCAGCGCAAGAACAAACTAGCTCAGGGTTGTCCCTGACGTCCAGCAGTTTTAACCCAGTCAAACGTGAAAGAGCCAGTGGCATGCGAGTCAGTTTTGTCTGATGTAGGTTGAGATGTATAAGACGAGTCAGATTAAAGAAAGCAAGCGTGTCGATACGGATGATTGGGTTACCACTCAAATCTAAAAATACTAGACTGGAGTTCTCAGGGAAACTGGAGTTTCTTATTTCCGTGAGATAATTGCTCTCTAGATTTGCTTCTATTATCCAAGGAGGAAAATCAGTGTCCTGAATGGTCGTGATCTGATTAAAACCGAGGTATATATATGTCACAGAGGTAGCATTGAAGTAAATACGGGGAACTGAAGCTAACAAATTGCCTGTTAATATAAGATTGAACAATCCTTCAGGCATTGAACCCGACTCTGTGTCAGATATTAAATTATAGGATAGATCTAACTCGCCTAAATTGGTCATAAACGGCAAATCCGGAATTATTGTTAATTTATTTTGCTTCAAATTAATGTATCGTAAAATGTCAGCTAATGGACGCAGTGCAGTTCCCAGATGAACTGGGTCAGAGATGCTGTTTGTGTTTAGATTTAACGATGACAGGTAACCAGACGCCGGCAGCCAGGTTATATCCGTTATATTGTTTTGAAGAAGCTGGAGCAACTGTAAGGATTTGATATTTGAAACGGTTTTGGGAATTGCTTCCAGCTCACAATGAATTATGGACAAGAGGTGTAAGGCGTGAAGGTTGTCCAGCGCATCGTCGGGCAGCTGAGAGATTGAGCAGTAGAGAACGCTTAATTGGTTGATATTAGAAAAGTTCCTAATCCAGGCCGGCCATTCTGTCAAGCCAACATTCTGTAGGTAAAGTGTCTGTATTCTTTTGCCTAAGTGGTTCATAGCAGCTTCATTCCAATCCACTACGACGGAATTGTAAATTTCTAAAATCTCTAGAGCTTCCAGATGAAGAAAGGCATCAGGAATTTTGGTGAAGTTTGCTCGGTTGAATGTTAACTTTCTCAACGTGGACGAGGAACCGTCCCAAGCAGTGTTGTCGATGTGTGATATTGAATTATTGCTCAGTGAAATCTCTTTTAGTCCTGGAGGCAGACTTCTGGCTGGTATAGACGTAATGTTGTTGCCCTGTAGGAGTGAAAAAGAAAACAAATTTGATATTAATTATCATGTCACATATTGTAAACGCAATCTATATTAATAAAAATGTAAATTTCCGTTGGTTGAAATGGCTAATCTCCGAAAGTTCTTCCCAGATTGCTTTCAAGTTTTCACACAACGTTGTATTCGACTGCGAGCGATTTTTTATGTATAAGTGTCGCACAAAAAATGAACTACATAGCTACAGCAACGATCACATCGGTTTTTGTTTCGTTGCCGGCCCGGAATTCTTCTTAGTTCCGCTGCTGGGCGACCTGTGACTGCTAGGTTATAATAGCGGCGTCCGTGGCTTAGGCTTTGCGTGTCACACTCCTAATTCTAACGTACCGGGATCGGAACCCACTGATGGCTGCGTGGATTTTTATCGGGGTATGGGGAGTCGCAGGTCCACACAGTTTAAAATAGGTATCTGGATGCACGGTTTTGGGAAGTAAAGACGGCCGGCGTAATGCTAACCACATTACCTACCTAGTTCCGATTAGTCTGTAAAAAGATGGGTGCTCTTTCCATATGTCAGATGCACCAAAAGGTGTGAAAAGGGATCTTTAGTTTTACTTTATTAAAAGGGGTATAATTCAGAAATAACAGCTTCAACGGTAATTTGAAATGTGTAGATTATATGCGTATGGATTCTTTACCATCCAAGACTGCATATATACACTTCTGTAGCTAATAGTAGCCAAATAAAAATTTTTTTTTAGAGTTTGTACAGGATTTGCTAGAGTGATCAGGCATTCATGGAAGTTTGTATAGGATTTGCTAGGGTGATCAGACATTCGTGGAAGTTTGTACAATATTTGCTAGCGTGATCAGACATTCATGGAAGTTTGTACAATATTTGCTAGCGTGATCAGACATTCATGGAAGTTTGTACAATATTTGCTAGCGTGATCAGACATTCATTGAAGTTTGTACAATATTTGCTAGCGTGATCAGACATTCATGGAAGTTTGTACAATATTTGCTAGTGTGATCAGACATTCATGGAAGTTTGTACAATATTTGCTAGCGTGATCAGACATTCATGGAAGTTTGTACAATATTTGCTAGCGTGATCAGACATTCATGGAAGTTTGTACAATATTTGCTAGCGTGATCAGACATTCATGGAAGTTTGCACAATATTTGCTAGCGTGATCAGACATTCATGGAAGTTTGTACAATATTTGCTAGCGTGATCAGACATTCATGGAAGTTTGTACAATATTTGCTAGCGTGATCAGACATTCGTGGAAGTTTGTACAATATTTGCTAGCGTGATCAGACATTCATGGAAGTTTGTACAATTTTTGCTAGCGTGATCAGACATTCATGGAAGTTTGTACAATATTTGCTAGCGTGATCAGACATTCATGGAAGTTTGTACAATATTTGCTAGCATGATCAGACATTCATGGAAGTTTGTACAATATTTGCTAGCGTGATCAGACATTCATGGAAGTTTGTACAATATTTGCTAGCGTGATCAGACATTCATGGAAGTTTGTACAATATTTGCTAGCGTGATCAGACATTCATGGAAGTTTGTACAATATTTGCAAGCGTGATCAGACATTCATGGAAGTTTGTACTATATTTGCTAGCGTGATCAGACAATTATGGAAGTTTGTACAATATTTGCTAGCGTGATCAGACAATTATGGAAGTTTGTACAATATTTGCTAACGTGATGAGACAATTATGTATCAGCCAGGACTGGAAAACACCAGTCTGTCAACAAAGGATGTTGGCCTAGCTACTATCTGGGCCGGTAGCATGCAATTTCAACAGGTATATACTAATCCTCAAGTCGGGGCTGGTCGGACGGTTAAGTATGCTTGCTGCTATGCTGGAGACCCAGGTTCAAATCATCGATAAGGCGGCGCATGTGTTTTTGCCGGGGCCAAAGTAAAATCCTAACCTGCACAATTTATGGCGACAACACTAGCCATGCGGTCCTAAATCCACATGCTCAGAGACCCCCCCCCCCCCCCCCCACACACACACACACACACACACACTCCACCCCTGTATAAACCGCAAAATTGGTAAAAACAGCCAGTAATCGTAGCAACTATATGCAAATGGTTTAGGTGTTACGAACGCAGTTTATACGTCTAAAATACCCGGTTCGATTCAACTGCGAGCGATATATTAACATACCGCTTTGCATTGATTCTTCCTAAGGCATAGAGCGTTAACAGTTTAGCACACTAATATACTAAGAGTAGAGTAATAACAACAGCAGAATTTCGGAACGGTTTTCTACTGTATATAATATGCATCTGTCTTCTACTTCTTCTTCTGCTTGAAAATACTCTTGATGTGCCTAACCGCGTCACGGTAGGAAGATATCTCTGGAACGTGCCCTTATGTTCGCTTCGTATATATTACTTTGAAGTGTTTCTGATACTCCTGCGGTCCATAGTCTGCGTGGTCGACCTCTGGATCTGTTACAGCTGAAACTTTATAACATTGCTCTCTGTTTTGCCCTGCGCCTGCTGGAGCCAGTCGTATTACATGGCCAAACTTTTTGAACTGATATCTACCGATAAAGTTCAGTATTGGTTCTGTGCAGACTTTTCTCATGATATCATGGTTCCTAAGTCGATCTTTCCTTGTTACAGCTAGCATAGTAGGTAAACATTCAATTTCTGTCGTGACTCTTTGCTTTTTGTCTCTGAAAACAGTGTCCATGTCTAACATTGATAGCATAGCGCTGGTAAGAATATTGTGTTGATATTGTTCGTATTCACGTAACATGCATCAAACTTAGCTTTTTTTTTTTTTGTTTTTGTTAAAGCAGCGCATACCGAGCACACCTGTTGTCAGTCATTATGTGGAGCTAAAGAGCAGACGATTGAGTACAAGTGAAATGAAGAAAGTCCCCAGTGCAACTAACTACACGACACCGTCATGCAATGATATTGTTGATATATTGTTGTCTCTTCCAATGCAAAGCAATGCATTATGTGTTTGTTTCTTTAGACACACACACACATACACACACACACACACCTATACACACTGTATATTATCATCATCAAGTGCCTTGCCAGCTGTCGCAGACGTGCATGTATCTCTACAGATCTTGACCTTGGTGTTGTGGATCAATGCCATTGACAATATTCATCCATGCCACTGTCGTATGTCATCCACAATCATTTCTCTCGGTCTGCCTCTGTCTCTTCCACCAGTGATCATTCCATTCTTCACGATTTTTTCCAGTGCTTCTTTTCTGATCACTTAACTAACGAACTTTGTTTATCTCCTTCTCATTGTTGTATATAATGTTCTACTTTCATAAGCCATTTCCAGGCAATCATTGTAAGTTGTTAATCTGACAGTCCAAGGTATTCCTAACATGAATCGAAGAACCACATCTCGGTTGCCTCGAAACTCTTCTAAATTTATATATATATATATATATATATATATATATATATATATATATATATATATATATATATATATATATATATATATATATATATATATATATATATATATATATATACATATATAAATATTCCTTAATTCACTGTCATGTTAACTCTGCATCAGTATTTAATGTAACTTTGAGGGGGCGCTCCATGATAATACGAAGTGTGAATAATTGTATGAGGTTAAGAAGAGGAATCTCCAGAATACCAACATAATAACACAGGGAAGAGGTGGCGAGAGAAAATCGGCAAATAATGGATAGACAACATTAAAGACACTCTACTCCTTCACGGCATGACAATAGCCGGTGACAGCCAGTGTGCACAGAATGACAAATTATTCCTCCCTATTACGCTTAACAGCGGAAGGGGTTTTTGATGATGATGATGATTTATCAACGAAAGCATTTCAGAATTATAAACATCCAGAAAAGTCGCATAATAAGAAATTGTTAATGATTACATCAATAATATACGTAAACACTTTTTGACAGTCTTATTAAAGAGAAACAAAATAGACACAGTTTTTTTCAGGCTAACATTATAACTATCTTACGTCAAGGTAGAGCACTGTGTAGTCAGTACCGTTGTCCCCTGTTAGCAAGGATGGCATCGATGTAAGTCCTCGGTTCTGACAAGAGATTCGGAACCCTCCGCAAGAACATTCCTGTCATCAAAGAAAGAAAAAAAAACTCATATACTATACTGAATATTATGATCATCATGTAGCAGGTCCTTTGCAGAACGTCGCTCTCATCACAGCCTGTCTGGAAGTAACACTGTCTTTCGCCAACTCTCCCGTCTAGTGTACTTAGATAGTAAGGGAGTTATTTATATCAAGCGTCCATCTTCGTGATGGTCGGCCCTGCCCCTTCTTAATAGTAAGTAGCATACCTTCTGCTATTATTATTTCCAATCGGCCATGACGCTTGAAATAACCAAAGCATGTCATCTTCCGAGACCTGATGCTGTTTTATTAGCCAATCTTCCTTGATGTTAAGATCTTTTCAAATATCAATATATTTTTTTTCTTTTTTGTGTCTGTGGTATTCTGAGAATCTTTCTATAGCCTTTCAGCTCAAAAGCCCCTATCTGCTTTCTCAATGACTGGGAGGGTGACGAGCTGGTCTGGACAGCTGTTTCTGCCCTTTTAAGTATTGCTGTGTACTAGTAATATTATTATCAAATTTGTAAACATTTCTTTATTGCTTTTTATTAGCCTTAATAATACTTAATTAATTAAGAAGTTAAAAGGCTAATAAGGCGAAGAGTAGTGCAAGGGGTAACTCAAGAGTTACTTTCTCCTTTTTAGGGACTTCCTATTTCCTTTTCAAATCGGAAATTGACCAGTTCAGACTCAAGTTGTTAGTCAGCCCGTGGTCCAATTTTCTGTTTGAATTCCCTACCAGGGGTGAGTTAATAAAATTAAGTTTAATTTGATCTATTGCTACTATTCCTCTGAATTAATTTTATCTGCTGAACTCTGAAATTTGATGCCCACATGGCTTAGAAACCATGATAAATTTCTTTATTCTTACTAACCACGTTTATTATCTAGTATGTACATGTATGCAAACATATGATTTATTTGATGATTGAAATAATGTTTATTTGATACTAGAAACTTGCATTGGTATTTTTAATTATTATAATTATAATAATTTAGTTAGAATGTAGGTCCTCATATGAAATCTCGGCCAGTTCCGGTTTCCAGCATGGTGAGACAATTAAAAAAGGAATGAAGTGCATATTCATTATACATAATCCTTTAAGTTGATTTTACCTCATGGTGATATTAGCTTGATAAATCACTGTCTTGCGTTAATTTAGATTTAGTCCAGATAATTCTGAGACTGGTTTAAGTGCTTGAAAAGTGAATAACTCAGTGGGGCTGAATTTAATATTCACACTGTCAGAGAAGAAGAAGAGAAATGTATGGCCCATGCCTGTAATTATTACTGTTGTAGATATATTTCCCCATTACTAGGAATTTTTCAGTACTACAGCAGGTGGCCTTGCAATTTTAATCATTATATTTCACCCCTCACAACTTCTAAACTCTGCTGACTAAGATTTTATCACACATGTGGATTTAGATTTAAACTGGAGTGAGTGTTGTATATTTTATGTTAATACTGTGACAGATGGAAGGCCCATTGTCATCTATCATTGTATTTTGACATCTATCCCATCACCCAGTTATATTGATGGAGATGTGTCAATCCTATTTGTTTTCAAACAGTGCAAAGCACCTGTTATGAGTTTCTGGCTTTTGTAAACTCACTCCCTGTTTCTCATTCTTTGTGATGTGAACCATGTGGTTAAAATGAGAAAATGACTGTGTATGTCTGTGCGTGTAAGCATGTTAACCCTTCACAGGAGTACTAGTGTACAGACATCAGAACAATTTACACTGATGAATGTCCTTTCTTATTGTGTGATGTAAACTGTTGGGCTAGAGAGTATTCATGAAATTGATGTGTCCTAAAATATTTCTCCATCAGGATTATGGACCATGTTCTGTAAACATTCCCATTCTATACCAGTAGAATGTGAACACCTGTTACTATCCTACTCCATATATGTGAACACCTGTTACTATCCTACTCCATATATATGTGTGTAGTGTAACATTATATGAGAACTGGAGACAATGTTGTCTCCAGTGAGAATTTTCCAATCTGTTTGTATAGGGACTGTTCTATTGTTCTAGTTCCAGATGGTAGTTCCAGGTAGGAGTTCCATAAATAAATCCCAGCGTAGCTGCAGATGCCCGATTGTCTGGACTGGACTGGAAGAGTCGGTCTGTCTGATGTGTATCCGAGGCTTAGCTAGAAGCTGACCAAAGAAACGCAAGCTACAGCTAAGTGGACAGATTTGTCTACTAACCTTAAATAAAAGGATTTTATCTCCACAACCAATTTAAATATTAGCTAGAATTTTCTAAATAAATGTTTCAGTTGTAATGTATCATCCAGTGTTATGGAGTTATTTTAACTGTAATTATTTGTGTCAGTGAACTTAAGAACATTTAAATATACAAGTTTATTAACAGTAGGGAATAAGATGTGGGCAAACCCCAAATCCTCTAATTTAACCAGCAAGGCTGGGGGTAATATAAACCTTTGTAAAGATTTATTGTTTGTAGTTCCCTCTGTAAATTGCACATAGTGCAGTCGCAAGTTTATAGCGAATTTACCCGCCACAGGGAGGCAGTCCATAATACACATTAATTTGATATAAAAAATTCTGAACTTTCAGCATAAACATTCCTGTCACAATACGAAAAACTATCTCTGGAAAAACTGATATATTATTCATCTGTGTTGTTGGCACCTTTCCGTATTTCCTGACTGTAGTTTTGTATTCCACTATGATAAGGCATGAGGTTTACAGCCCACGGTGATAGCGAGTGCGATTAGCAAGACCCACCTGCTCTAAGAAAAGTTTTCCACAATCACATCATAGAATTTCAGGACCGTTGTTGCAGTAATTTAATTTAGTGGTTTCTTCTCAGATGACTGTGGCTAAGTCGATGCGAACGCTTCGTAATGCCGGGTTCGATCTCAACTGCGGGCCATGCGCCTTGCGTTGGTTTCGACAGTGGTATCAAGAAAGCTGACTGTCCAGAAGGTAATGGCAAACTACTGGACGTAAATTTGCCTAGAAAAACAACACATCAGCCAGGGGATGTTGGGGTTGGTTCTGCAACGTCCTGTAAAGGTTACGCAACTAACTAACATTCTCAGATGATCAGCTCTCACCCTTTATGCAGTCATGTTTACATCATTCTCATACTTTTCCTAGGGGATGCGTGGTATCGAGGCATGGTGTCCGCCTCGAGTGCTAGAGGTTCCGGGTTCAATCCCCTGTAAGGGCTGGGATTTTCTCACGTGAATTTGGATTATAGTCATTCCCGCTGTTCTTTGGGTAGGAAGATGGGACGCATTGTTGCGCACTTAAAAAAAAAAAAAAACCTTTGGCAGTTGGAAATCGAAAAGAGTAGCCTAACGGCTCTGCACGGGCTAAAATACGAATTGAAAATCTACCCAAAGTATTTCAGTATCCTCGCTGGCTGAGGAGCCTGTTAACTGTGCTGAGCTTCTTCGGACTCAGACTTGAGTTAGAAGACGAACGGAGCACTTACGGATTACTACCCGTGTGTCATGATGTTGATCCGTTGTTTAAACCTCAAACCTTCGAACCTTATTTCTTTGTCTACTTGCCGTGCCACTCAACACGACGCATAGCATCTTCCCAATGAATCCGTCTCAATACCTGTATCATTCATGTCCTGATTCCAAGCATTTTTATACTGTAGTAAAGGTCGTCTTCGACATCGTCCACCCATCTGTATTTCACCAGGGGAGATGTCATCTACCATCCTCTTTTCTCTAGATGTGGCGCAGCCGCCGGGTCCGTGGAAGACTTAGCATTAATAAAACTGTTGTACATGCTCTTTCCAACATCTATGGCGGCTGCGTGGTCTCGAAGCAAGGTGTCTGCCCCGAGAGCTAGAGATTCCGTGTTCAATCTCCAGTAAGTGCTCGGATTTTTGTTTTGGACTTAGATTTCTAGCAACTCCCCCTGGTCTCATGATAGTGAGGTCAGACGCCCGTGTGCATTTGGCAATCGAATAGAGTAGCCTAACGATGTGTCATGATGTTGATCAGTTGTTCAAACATCAAACCCTACTCAGTCCAACACCTCGTCTATGGCATATGTTTTACTGACAACACCTTACGAAGACCCTTTCCACTGATATTTGTGGTTTAGTCAGCTGTAAAGACAGGATTGCCACCCACATACCGGGGTTCAAAATACGCCTTAAGCAATTTATTATGAGATAATGTTGCATATTAATTTTTAGTGGCGTAAATGCGGTGAGCAATAACATGCCAATTAACTTAAAATTTCGTTATGTAAACAAAAATACAAGCAATGTTCCCTATGAACAGTTAGAAAAAAAAAAAAAATGCACAATTGATTGCTCGACATATTTTGTCGAACACTGTTACGAGCACACTACTGTAACAATTAAAAACAATGAAATAAATGAATAATTGCATTAGAATTATCAGAAAAAGATTTGAAACCAAGCAAGAAGCACTAGTAATCTTCATAATATCACAAACACAAACCACAAGTTAACTTTGCTGTTAGAAAGAACATAAATCTTCAATACCACACATATGAACAAAATACAGGAAATTACCTGACACATCCAAGATAGAAATGACGTTCCTAATTGGCTAGTAATTTACATAAATAAACAGAGGCGGCACCCTTGAGACTAGAAATATTGTATGGTGTAATAAACAAACAGACAATGTACTGATTGGCACTCACAGAATAAAGTAGAAAGATAAAAACGACATTCTAGACAACACAAAAGTCGAAAGCTTTAGTTACTGGGGCGGTAATCGAGTTTGTCACCTTCAAACGTTACGTACCCTCGCTATGTAAACAATTGTACTATAGACATGACCGGCTTGGGTGAAAAAAGTTTTTGAAACCTATGGCGCCATATCAATGGTTTGAGATTAATTCTGTCCGTATTCTATAGTTGTGATGATGATATTCTTCTACTAAGTAAAAACAGCAGTGAAATGCACAGAAACACGGATGATTTTGCAATAATAGAATTAGGGACTGTACTAGAAATAAGTTATGAAAAGACAAATATATTAAAGACACAACAACAGATCCCGCAGATTAACAATAAAGACAAAAGTAATTCAGGTAACCGATCAATTTACTTTTTTAGAAAGTATTTTTAATAGTGACACAAACACAATGAAAGACATTTGGACATGCCGAAGCATCATCAGTTTTTATAGCTTGAACTGCCCGGCTCTCTAGCGTAGTTTGCTAAACCGGATTGCGCGGAGACCGGGTGACGAACTCCTTGTGGTCCGGGTTCAATCCCGGGGTAGGCAGGAAAGCTACATTTTCTCCCAGATTTACGGTATTTACAATGGAATCAAGTCCGAAAGATTGCGATATCCATAATACCGAGCCTAAGGGTTAACAACTCATGGCTTCTAAAACAAACAACAAACATAGCTTGAACTAAACATGGAACTTACAATTTTAAAATTTAAAAACCCAGTTACGCATTTTCAATTCTAATACACACACACATATATATATATATATATATATATATATATATATATATATATATATATATATATATATATATATATATATATATATATATATATATATATATATATATATATATATATATATATATATATATATATCAATTTTAACATATTAAAGTGAAGGTTGGAGATCCACTAAATACATGGAACGCAAGCTAAACGAATTAAAAAACAAATATTTAATGAAAATAATGAAAACAAAATAAGATGCATTTAAAAGAAAGGAAGCAATAAGAGAAATCTACAGCCAGCCTCCAGCAACATCAGTTATTAGACTGGAGACGACAGTGCCCCATTGTTCACATCCTGTAAAGAAACCGGCAGAGAATCCTCAGACAGGTTTTCAAATGAGAAATAAAGGGGTCTACTTCTTCTTCTTCGCGTTCACCAGCTGAACACTCTGGCGGAAAGTTCTGGTTGCTCGTCCACTACTGAACTGCAGTCCTGCTCCAGAACCTGAGTGTTGAGTGTGCATCAGTTTTTCAGATCTCATTCTCTTGAATACAGACTTTTGGTTCTTTGCCTCTCCGGCTGATGCACTCCGGCTTCAAAGGAAGCTCCCCAATTAGTCGACTCTTACGACATGCTTTTGGGGAGGCAGTGGGTCTATTCTTGTTTTCCCCACAATGGGGCCCCGGAAACCACACGGGAGATAAAGTGGTTAAGGAGGCGAGGACGCCAAAAAGAATAACTAAGAGGAACGTTGACGAGGGAGGCTAAAGCTGCTGGATTGGATTCCATCCATGATATTGAACTGATTCCACATGATAGAAAAAAATGGAGGAATAAACAGATATTCAAATGTGACATGTAATGTCGCAATAGAATAATGAATGAATCATGGGGAAAAAACGTAAGATAGTAAATAAAAAAAAAATTTTAAAAATGAGAAACTAAACGTGTGAGGGCAGAAATATTTAGTTAACAATAAAATTTTAAAAAAAAAGCAACCCTAATATGTGAATCATGATGTTTACAATGTAAGATGTAGGTATATCTTGAATATAATTTTGAGTACGAAATGGAATTTATTTAGAAACAGCATATGCAAATGCAAGATGAATGTATTTCTAACATATTGTACATAATGCAGAATATATAGGCATAAGAAAGAATTGCGAATAATCATAATGCATCGTCGTAATTTATATATCTTTATATTTATATATCGTAATTTCCAAACGGTACATGTAAACATGTATCACAAGAACAATTAAAAAAAAAAGAAACAGACATAACATTACTTGGTATGGACAAATGGCTCCACTGAAGGAAACACACAGCATCCAGACACACACGAATCTCCAGATAAACATGTCTTTGCCCAGACTCCTGCTAGATTAAAGTTATAATGAACTGTAAGAGGGAGAATACAAAAGACGAAAGAAGAAGAAAACAGAAAAAGAAGATAAATGGAAGAAGAAGAAGAAGAAGAAGAAGAAGAAGAAGAAGAAGAAGAAGAAGAAGAAGAAGAAGAAGAAGAAGAAGAAGAACAAGAACAAGAAGAAGAACAAGAACAAGAACAAGAACAAGAACAAGAAGAAGAACAAGAAGAACAGGAACAAAAAGAACAAGAACAAGAAGAAGAAAAGGAGAAGAAGAAAAAGTGGGGGAAATGGACGAGAAAGAAAAAGAATAGGAAGATGAACTGGAAGCAATTGTCAGTTACAAGAACCTTATATTCGACCCGACAGGCTAGCTTTTAGCCACTAGGCCACTTCGACTACCTAGTCTACATGTGCCGATAAAGCTTTTCTACGTCGATAATAGTAAAAGTAAAGTATCCTTTATAAAAAAAGAAAACGAAAAGTTCAAGACAACACACAATACGACAATCTCTTCAAACAAACACATTGGCAACCAACCTTTAACCTGGGTAAGAAATACGGTTCTGCCAAGTGGGAAACGGTATAATGAAAGCTTCAGTGCGTGACAATGAAAGGTGCCTTTTTTCTCACAGTTTGTTACACGCCTGATAAGATCAGCACGGCTAGTATCTTCTACTTTCTAAAGCGGTGAAACTATGGGGGTGACTGCAGTCAAGCTTATACAATGAATTCCAGAGAAATATGACTAAAAAGCTCAACAAAATAGGAAAAAGGAAAACGTGCACAAAACAACACAACGTAACGTTTCGACCGGGCAGCCTTTTTCAAACAGAAGTGGACTACACAAACGAGGAATGGAGAGTATGTAGATCTCTAAGGGGTGACGTGAGCGACGTTTAAAAAATGTGATGCGGAATAAATGAAATAAAATAAAATAAACGATGGCTAAAAAATATAGTCACAATGCTGGGAATAAAAGAAATGCAAGTGTTAATGATACATAAATGATATTGATAAGAAATAGAATATGGTAATAATATGAAATAAAATAAAATAATTAACATTTAAAATGTAATAAGATTAGAACTATTTAGATGAAGGTATGTTGGATATTGATACCTCTTGGACTAAGAACGCCAAGGCTGTGGATAAGGCGATTTTCCAAAGCGAGGCGGGTAGTATGATCGCCAGAGCAAGATTTTAATGCTGTGACAGATATGTCATCTTTACCGCTGTGGTCAGGGCTATTAAAATGAAGAGGGATTGGTTTGAGTGTCTTCTTGTCGATATCAGAGAGGTGTTCCCGGAAACGATCAGCTAGCTTTCTGCCAGTCTCCCCAATGTATGCCATGCTGCATCGTTTGCAGATAATTGCATAAATTACGTTGCGGGATTCGCAAGTAAAAGGTTCCCTAATTTGAAAAGAACCATTAGGGAAACTGACCGAAGAAGTCTGGACAACGAAAGGACATGTTTTGCAGGTGCTGCGTGAGCACTGAGTAGTCCCAAGAGGAAGTGCTGTATGGATCGGTGGGAGTCGGCTTCGGACAAGTATGTCTTTAAGGTTGCGATCTCGTCTGTAAACTAATCTAGGTTTCTCACTAAAGATAATACTGGTGTCCGGATCAGAGCGGAGGATGTCCAAATGACGAAAGAATACTTTAGAAGCAACCACATTGTTAGGGTGAAAAGTCAAGATCAATTTAGGTCCCTCATTGGTGGAGTTACGTTTGGTAGGAAAAGCATCTCTCCTGGTGATTGCTAAAACTTTGTTTAGAGCCCCTTGTAGAATGTGTTCCGGATAGAAACGGGCACGGAAGAATTCAAGAAGTTCAACTGATTTATCAAAGAAGTCAGAATCGTCAGAGCACAACCTGCGCAATCGAAGGAGCTGTGAATATGGAATAGAATTTTTACACGGTAGTGGGTGAGAAGACGTATAGAGGAGATAACTGTGAGAATCCGTGGGTTTGTAGTAGGCTGTGGTTTTCAGACACGAGAAATCGATGCTAATCGTGATGTCAAGAAAGTTAACTGAAGTGGTGGAGATCAGTGAGGTGAATTTGATAGCCGGATTGAAATTGTTGATGTAAGTAATAAATTGGTCAAGCTCAACCATGGACATTTCGGTGATACCAACGCCATCATCTATGTATCTCCTATACACCTCCGGAAACTTGCCCGGGTATGATAAACTGACCTCGTATTCCAGGTGGCCCATAAAGAGGCACGCGTAACTAGGACCCATCTTGGTGCCCATCGCAACCCCACTGATCTGGTCAAAATACTCACCATTAAACTCAAAAGAGTTGAGGGTCAGTACCAGTTCGGCAAGGCGTACAAGAACTGAAGTAGGGATGATCGGGTTGGACCTTCTGTCCAAAAAGAACTGGAGTGCTCTAAGACCATCAGAGTGAGGGATAGACGTATAGAGGGAGCATACGTCTATCAGGAAAAGATGATAGGTTTTACCAGGAAGTAGTCTGATGGATTCGAAAATGTTGAGGGCATGGTTGGTGTCCTTGACAAATGAAGGGAGACTGGTGACAATTGGTTGGAAAATACTATCTAAAAATTCAGAAAGATACACCGTGGGACAGGAGCATGCAGATACAATGGGACGTCCAGGGTTGTTAGGCTTATGGATCTTAGGCAGCAAGTACATACACGGTTTGCCAAGTTGGCTGTCAAAAACACGCATATTGTTGGCCTGCTTAGGAAGAGTACCCTGTGAAATAAATGATTGTAACGTGTCCTTGACTTTCTTATTGTTGGAGACTGTGGGGTCGTCCCTTCTTGCGGAATAGAAAACGGGGTTTCTGAGTTGGGTACTGGCTTCCTCAATATAAAGATCCTTCCTCCAAACCACTACAGCGCCCCCTTTGTCAGCTGACTTTATAACAATATCGTTCCTCTTTCTGAGGGAGGAGAGAGCCCGCCATTCACCTTTGGAGAGGTTGGATTTAGGTAAAGGCCTTTGTTCCAACTGCTGGATAGTATGAAGCGTGTGGCTGATGTATAGATCAAGCGCCTTAGATTTACCAGCAGGAGGAGTCCACTGTGAACGGGATTTGTTGGCCGTTGAAAGAAATGTAGTTTCGTCAATAGGCCCAGTGGGGGCAGGTGGTTGAGCCCAGTGATGATGTTTCAGGCGACATGGAGTTAATGTCATATCTACTATATGTATACACACACGCACACCTCACACACACAAACACACACTAACTAGATTTAATGATGGACAAAACGGACATACTAAAGACCGTTTATGAACAAATGCCCACAGAAGATGCAATGTTCATTGACAAAACGTTTATAAAAATGTTTCAAGTTAAAATCACAAGTTAATCTAGCGATGAAATAAATATGATTTGAATAATACAACTGTTCATTTGATGTAAACAAGTTTCGTCATCATCGTTGACAGTGGGCTGTCGTGTCGATTCTTAAATCAGTAATTCGAGCGCAATGTAGCCCTATGTGAACATAACGTCGCGAAAGATTCATGATGAATATGGTTTATTTGAAATGAACATAAAATAAAGGCTATCCAATTGCGTCGCTTTTTTTTTTTTTTTCACCAAGAGAAAGAAGAATCAACAATAATTACCAACTAATGATGGTTGACTATATATGTCCAGGCTTTTATTAGGTTCGTCTTTGTTTGTTTGTTTCTCTAGTCTAAACATTATGTACAATGTTTTCACTTGTTCTCTATAAGCTTGTGCGCTGAAATTTCGACGACATACACTTTGTGCAAAACAAGACTAGTGCAAACATATCCAGAAAAAAAAAATATTTGAATTGGCTATGTTTGTGTAAGACATGATACATGTTTATATTGTAGACTTTTTCCCCCAAGTGAAACCATGTAAATTACAACCAGTTTAGAATTCTTCATGACTTTGTCTTCAACCCCAACACAGTTAGACTACATATTACTTTGTGACCGCTGGGACTCCCAATACAACTGAGTTACGAGTTATGAGTTAGATTATCTTCACAGCACTCCGGACACATCCATAGGCGCTCAGAATCCCCTCTCAACAGTGTCCGTTTATCAGCGTCCGATTGCTATGAAGCTGAAACTAGGATTACCAGATTACCAGATCAGACGGCTGGATTAGGCTTCCATGACTTGTAGGTGGGGAGCTCGCATAGGAATAGTGCTTCTTTAAGTCACTTAATATTATTATCCCAGTATGCAGCTATTGGAGGGCGGCGGGTAACTTGAGCCTCCAGAATTCAGGTTACCAAGCCAGTTGATAGGGACCCAAATAAAACGTTTTTATCCCGAATGGGGTTAACTAATTAACTTCCTGCATCACAGATGACACAGTAGCAACCATTAGGAATGATGACTCGGTGAGCAGAAGGCGCGGGAGGGAGCAAGCGAGTGGACCAGAAAGAGTAAAGTGGTTGGGAGAGAAAATTATATTGCTCATGCAATGTAATTACGTGGTGTTGACTGGTGTCAAGAATTGACATCACCATTAGGGCGATTCCCATACATGCTCCGTCCTCATCTTCAGCAGCCAGTACAGAGTTCCAGTACTGATGGTACCAGGCACAATTTGGTTAACAGTCTGCCTTGCCTTTCCTCTGAGTGAAGTGAGGCGGCCAGACCCTCTGGTTACACCAAGGTGCCTCATTTACTCCAAGCCATAATAATCTTCTTTCTCCACTGATTCCGTAGCCTGTTCCCAACGGGCATTGACCACATCTGACTTGTCATGTATCAATTCATCATCAAGTGGTGCAGATCCAGGCGATCTGTTTGCCTGTTCGTTACCCACCACACCGGCATAATCTGCAGAAAAGATCCAAAGTATGCTCACTACCCGTGCCACTCTGCTCGAAGCATTCCTGTCTTTATCTTTCTCAGCATGCTTTCAGAGTCTGTCACAATTAAGACATGTGTATACATCCTGTTCTCTAGCCACCGGAGAGCTGCAGTTACCGCCTCCACGACCATTATGTGGTGTTGT